GGCGACAGGCGTCTAGTTGTACCTTGTCCAAAATCTGTAGATACAACTTTAAGGTGACGCACGCGATTGATGAAGTGTGTACCGTATTCTATAATAGTTTCACACTGAAAAGCTCATTTTTTTGCAAGCACGGACATAACTTGTAGTTTTTATGCTACGAACATAATTTTTCATTTAGTAATTACCAACCATAATTATTGTATTTCAAACTAAGTATTTGATTTAGCTTTAGGCACTCATACTTCATTAATAAGCAAAACACACCCAAGACCTTGTATCTGCAGGATGATAAAATTGTTAAAAAACTTGAAAATAAGATGAGTCCTATACAAGAGATTGTATGAATACTTTTACAAGAGTTGAACTTCGTGCACCAGTTTAAATTCCCACTAACCTTTTTCCCCTTCACCTTATACATAGTTTCAAAGTCCAGATGGGCTCAAGATAGACGTCTCTATCACTCGAGGAGTGAGTCACTCTGGTTGTTTATGGAATCCAACCAATCCGTATAAAAAGTGTCGGAAGGGTGGATCAGAGAAATCTGCCGGTCATGGTACAGAACCGCGTCTGAAGTGCCGTCACATTTAGAATATTTACAAGGTGGAATTTCGTTACTGTGGCGACTTTAAAGATGTCTTCTGTAGGTCAAAGCACAGAGTTGACTCTTTCAGATCACCATTTTGATAATTAGCATAGCCTACTGTAATACAAGGCTGCGGCGTTGGTGTGTGGCAACGTCGCGCCGGCCGGTATATTACTGTAGTTATAAACTCGTAAACATAAACATTGCGTATACACTATTCATTATTCATTAATGCAACAGCTGGTTCAGTAGGCCGGGTCTGCGGCGTTGCCACTTTGTCTCGCCGCGGCCTTTATTAGAGGAGGCCATTGTAATAAGTCATATATTGGACAATTCGAAGAAAACTAGTTGGTATATGAATTGTCCTTGCCTCTTCTAGAATCATAAATCAATTAAAGACCATGTTTAGTTTGTATATATTTTTTTTTAAATAGTGACCATGTAAGATTACCAAACTATCATGTACCATCATGGTGTATGCGACCACACAAGTTTTAATATTACTCACGAATACTAGAAAAATTCGTGATTTTACTGTTAGCATTTCTTCATAGTGTTGTCTACGTCAGAAATTGTCTTACCTCCCTAAAGATGTGTTGAAGTCGACGACTCGATTGCCATTACCGTAAATCACATACAGTATTGTGACGTTTTGTCGGGATTTGGACTAAATCTGTTACTTTACTGTTATCTAGAATCACAACCACTAATCTTGACATTGGCATATTACGTTTTGTCGGAATATAAACTAGTACTGGCATAGATTAAAGGAGTATGCAGACTGTATAAATACCTTTAATCTGTGGGACCGGTAAGAAATGCAAGAAATGTTCAAATGATTTTAGTAAGTGTCTCGTATGAACACTACCATAACTCTCAGCATTATCTCTTGTGACGTTTTGTTAAAATGACAAGCAGAAAGAAGACTAGGGAAATGTTAGAATCTCCTACAGTACAACTTTTGTCTTGGATCACCACTTACCTTAGCAACTGGCGGTTTGTTCAAATGCCACTACACTTACAAATTTCTGAACTACCATCGTCTTGGTGTGGACGACTCGATCCTCGATCGCGACCATGAATCACCTTATGTGACGTTTACCGGGGTGGCGACTAGTCCAGATAGGGTACGGGTGCGAACGCGGGACCGGTGGTCATAAATATAGCAGCGACTGAAACATATGTTGCTTGTAATGACACGGGCAGGGTTGTAGCTCACGGGGATTTCATCGTGCCGCTAGCCTCTAGTACGTCGTCGCAGACGCCCCGCAGCGCTCTCCACTTTTATATCGATACTCGTCCGGTGCCGGATTTATACGTATTATTATTTATAACATACTTAAAATTCCAAGGGACTTTCGCCGTTCGCAGTTCGGACCTCACGGGTAGCCTCATGCTGTTTTTTCCCCTAAACGTGTCGGAATGTCGGATGATTTATCAAGAAGTAAATTACAGTTTACATAGAAAATTCGGCAGTCAAGTGGGTTGTAATATTTACTTGAGGTTGAAGTAAATCCTTTGAGGCAGGTAAGGGCCTTTTAAGGCAATCTGTGGTTTTGCAGAAAATCTTGACCCTACCCAGTTTTAGTTTGACAATCTGAAACTGGCTCAGAAACGTCAGTGGAAAAGAGTAATACCTTGTTATACTTAACCACAAATATTATTCATTATTATTATTCGGATTTAAAGGTAATTTTGTTTAAACTCTTGCAGAAATTAAAACTAACTAACAAAATTGTCTTTTTAAACAAAACTATCAAAATACACGCCATATTGCAAACTTAACCTCAAATTTACTCAACACAGACTCATGTTTATCAAAGAATGTTCCTGCTTCCTACAAAAACTGTTATATTGACATCCTAAGAGGCATTTAGACTAAAGTATACGATTTGGAATATTTTATACGTTCTTAAAAAATACTGCCAACCAAAGTTTGCTTCGGGCTTCCCTCCGCACTTTCATCTGTACAGTATAACCTTCTTATGAGGCTGTACAGTGTATTTCCAAGTTTTTTTATAGACATGCCATGACTTCTAAACAAACATTACGTCTAGTAGTACGAGTGTAATTTATCTCCCTCGTTATTGGCGGAATTATGTATTGCTTTCTTCTGTAAAACCAGTGTTTCATTTCTAATTTTTTTGACATATTGACAGGAAGAATTTTCAACGAAATGTTTGGATGTATTCCCAAGCCATGCAATTCCTATGATCGACACCCCATGACTTCTAAACAAGTGGAAAGTCTAGAACGGTTTGTGAACTAATTTATCTTCCCTGTTGTTGGCGGAGATGATGGATCTCTCCACTGGTCCCAGGATCCCATGAGGTGATTTACGAGCGCTCCAGAACACCTGTCATGTTCCTGTAATTGAATTGCCAAACTTCCTGATTGAATTCTGACCTTCCGTCGATCCGGAGCAACATCTCAACCAGTTCAACTCTGACCTTTGGTAGTTCTGGCTGAGAACTTAATTATCTTCGCACAATTTCTCCGTGTCTCACTGTGATGGGTTCTCAATCAATTTCTTTCTTAGAGAAGAGTGCTTCTAGTTACTAGGCTTGGGAAGTTTGCTTTACAGGAAGCAAGATCAGATTCAGGAGCAATTGATTGGCTAGGCACGAGCCCGGAATTGTTTTTTCGCATTACTTTAGGCTAGATATAGAGATCACTGCATTATCATTTCTAGATAAAATCCAAAGGTGATTTTGGTGGCATTTGAACCAAGGGACCGAAGTCTCGCACACAAACCACTAGACCAGCTCGCTCCACTAACGTCGTAGCACAGAAAACGTACTACGGTCGTAGTTACTTAGTTACGCATCCAACATTGTTGAAGCTTTCAGGCTTTTACCACAGCTTCCATAGAAAACATAATACACGTATTGTATTTAGTTGGAAATAATCCTACAACTTTTAGTTTTAAATTTCAAGCATTATTGCACGATTTCTTGACTAATAGATAAAAAGATATTTACAAACTATGGTAATTATCAAATCAAAACGTCTTTTGGTTCATTAGGGTGCATCTAGTTAATCGAAATTATATGGAGGAAACTATATAGAAATGGGTCAAGTCAATGATTTGTTGAAGATATTGGTTCAATATTACAGTATAATCAGAAAGAACTGCCACATTTCTTATCCAATCCCATTGAATAACATTGATATTTCACGTTGGTACCGCAGAGAGAAGTTGAAAAATATCATAAATGCTTCAAAATCCTAAGAACCTCTCACAAGCCACTCCATTCATACAGCTGATCAAATGTAAATAGAAGCACCGAGGTTTACAACACGTGGTGATTTGTAGTGGTGGCGTATCTCGTCAGATCGCGCTGCGGCGGTTAATTGCTCTCGCCAAATGAGTAATGATCCTCGGATGACCTTCGATCCGCGCCTACCGGAGACTACGGTGGCGCGTGGAACTTGTGTATTGCAACAGGATGCATGGAACTTTGTAGCCAAACGTTACAACCCCTAGATCATTCTTGTCTACTTTATGTCTGCCACATTCTTTAACCGATACATCGTCCAAACGGTGCATCAAAACTTTCAATCGCATTTTCTACAGAGACCCCTTTCTCATTCCTTGCACTTTAGCATAATTATTATTCATCTCTTCCAAACCTTCTAATACAATTCTTCGATTTAGCCACTTTCCTCTAGTTGTCAAAGCGCGTAATCCTTTACGTAATCTTGTCACCAAAAATCCCACTTTCTTTTCATGTTTACCTTGTAATAGCCTCACCACTCCATCAATATTCACACTCACTCGTTCCAAAAGCTTTAAAACTCCTTCTACATTTTAATGAATTGTTCCTGATCATTTGTACCTCTTCCCTCTCATTCTTCAGAGATTCTCCCTGTAATCCTTCTGTAGCTCTTGATATCTCTTCTTCGTCTAGCTTCTTTCAATCCCTAGCCTCATATCTCTATTTATCTCTCTTTCTCTCTCTTCACGCAACTCAACTCCCTTTTGCTTTTTGACGCATTATGTTCTTTTATCATTATTCAAAGACGTGTCATTTATTTCTTCCTCAGCTACTCAAATACCTACCTTCCTTTACCTATGTCAACTACCTTCCATAAGTTTGACTCTCTTTCATCACCTTATTAATGACTACTCACTCATTCCTCTGCTAGCTCGTCATACTTGTTCCTCATACAGCTCCGTTGTCTCTCTTGTCAAGTTTATCTCTTAAAGCAACTCATCCATCCTACCATTTGCAAATTTTACTCTTTTCCTCATCTCATTCTTCAGCTCGTCCTTGATTCCTCCTCCAGCTCGTAATATTCCTCCCTTCTTCATTTTCTTCACTCTCTCGTCGCCTCTTTTGATTCACGCAACTAACCTCCCTGTTGAAGCCTGTTGGAATGAAGGAATTGTTATTCATTCATTCCCTTGTTACAGACAGAGCAGCGGATGTGCGCCGCGTGCTCAGAGCCCATCACAGACAAGTACCTTCTTCAGGTCAATGGAAGGTCCTGGCACGCTCACTGTCTGCGCTGCTGCGTCTGTCAGCTGGCTCTAGATCGTCAGCCCTCCTGCTTTATCAAGGACGACTCTGTCTACTGCAAGGCGGATTATGCCAAGTAAGTCTAGCATCTTATATTTTGTTCAAATAACGATCGCCTTCGTTATTTGAACAAACCATATACAAACTGTCACAAGAGTCAAAGCTGCTGATGGTGAGCATTCGACTGTATTGTTATAAGACTTCGATAGTAGAATAATCATCACGAACACGTATTTCCTTTACAATTTACTTCAAATATATTCTTCAAATTAAAGTTATACAACACACACTCCATAAGAACGACATTCTCTTGAAATTGATATACTTAATACAAATCTCCTTCTTCTGTTATCTCAAATACATCGTCAGAAGTAATGAGATTAAAGTCTCTAAAACTACCTCAACAATTTATGAAGAGGAAGCAGAGTTTACTACCATGAACCATTTAGTCGATGACTTGCTCATAGTAGCTCTTCCTGAAGAATTGTTGAAAGCCAAGAGGGACCACAAAGCGATGCACTGTTCGAGTCATGAATCGTTTTAGCGAATTCCTCTACAGGGAAGAAGCCATTACAAGTAGGTGGCACGGAAAGACCTAGACACGGGACTGATTAAAATTTCCGAATAAATGTCCCCAGAAGCCATAAATTCGTCCACGCAGTTCGTCCAAATTCATCACAACAAGATATCACAAACGTGGAAAATATACTTATGGGAGAACTCTGTCAATAATTGAAGAGCCGTATGAAAAATACATAATGTATTTTTTTTACTCAGTCTCCAGTGACAATGTAGACATAACAATTATACCATAATAAATAAACGGTACAGTATTGGTAATCTGACAAACGTTCTCCCATTAGCTTGTGAACTACCCTTTTCTTGGGCAAGTGGTGTGGGTAAATATGATATTTTATTGCTGAAATCACAAAAATGTATAACTTTTGAACTGTAATTTTACAGTGATGGGGGTTGTACCATTTTCTTTAGAACTAAAAGGAATATAACATACTAAAACCTTATCACAGTTGCTTGAGCCGAGTTTGTAAATATCCTATTTTTATGTTATGTTATGTGATTTTATTGGAAAATCAACATTTAAAACAAAAATTTCCAAAAAATGAAAAGCTACGTCTGGAGATACTATTCATTAGTACGGTACCTACATACCAAATTTCTTTAAAATCGGACCACAGGTGTTCTCTGTAGGTCTGTACACATAAACCCAGAAATCATTTTGAAAACCACTTTTTTAGGTTCAACGGGCTTTTTAGGGGGGTGGGGTGGACGTATATATCTACCAAAGCTCTAAAATCTTCACGATAACAATATTTTCTCTTTATGCTATGTTTAGGGACTGAAATTACAAATGAAGGAGAAACAGAATTTTATACTGTAACACAACACACTCTCTGTGCACTGTGTACGGCTCGTTCAGCCACTGTATGGCTACAATTTCTAATCAACCATTTACTACAGCTACAGCTGTTCTTAGACGGGACGTGTACCTCAGTATCCAAAACCCAAAGCTACCATTGACTATTGGATATTTACTGGATCCAATCAGTTAAAAACCATCAGCTAAAATCCCAACTTTACCACGTTCATATGTGACAATCCCGTCCAATGTTATTGAAAACAACTCGTGATTGAATTCAGACTTGTCAAAATGGCGGCGAAGTGAAGGGCTTCATCGAGATATCAAAACACCGAGTTGCGAGTCACGGCGCGGCGAAGACTTTCTACCGTCAGGTAAACACGCCACAAAGGCACCGCCACGACAAATTGAGAAGGTTACAAACGCATCTCCGGTATACATATGCATAAGTCATCTTTGTCCGAACCACCGTCACGGACACAAGGCTGTTTATCACTTTTTGACAAGCATTCTCGCCCATTCTTAGGTAAAGCTGACCCAGAATATCGGATATCGCGAGCGACCTGCGGCAACACCGACGGAATGTATAATACAGACATTCAACATTCAGCATTCAGCATTCAACATGGCTGACAGTAGCTAATAGCTGGCTCCAGGAAGTGTTGAGTTGAGGAAGCAATTGTCGAGGTTGAGTTTGAGTCTTTGACACTTGAGAATCGGTACTTACGTATACCGACCACACTTAAATTAACCTAACCTAACGGTGGTTAGGTTAGGTTAGGAAGATTTTGTTTAAACTAAATAAAATCTTATTTGGAAGTCGATTTATCGGTGTGGTCGGTATAGTACGTGAGTACCTCAGAATGTTTTGTAGCTGTGGGACACATTCTGTGCAAGGCAAATTGGCTTGTCCTCTGTTTTGTCATGTTCTGTTATATACAGTAGAATTACCAGAATCATCAATTACCTGGCCATGTCCAGAATCGTCGGGACCGAGGCCAGTGCGGATAACGGGGTTTTCGGTTAAACCGACGTCCTCTAAAACTCATTAAATGCGGGAATCACTCGAAAACTAGCCCAAATGTTTTACTTAAATAAATTTGGGAGAGCGTTGTATTTAGACTCGTGATCGCTGGTCTCAAATCCTTCCCATGAGAAAAGTCGTTTCAGTAATCAGTTCCGCCCACTTCCTATCAATCCAGTTCGGTTAAACCGATGTGCTGAAATTTACCAATGAAAAATATGTTCACTTCTGCCAAAAGCAGTTCTGTTAAACCGAAATCTGGTTTAAAGGTGTCCGCATAAGGGAGTCAACTGTAGGTACTATTGACTTTTGATACTGAATTAGACAACCCGTCAATCCCATCTGTATGAGCCAGATGTAATAAGTCTTTTTATTAAAAGAGGACATCGTTGAAAAAATCTCGCACAGGTGTGCAACTACTGAAGTATTTTCGCTATTTGTCATGGGGAAATAAATATCTGAAAGATGGACGATTTAACTATGCAATAGAATGGCTTCATGGTTTTGTATCTATAGGAAAGGTAACATGAAATCACAGAAAGTATTTAACTAAAAATCCATGGCAAACAATAAGGCCCTGATAATCTTATATTTCTCTGTCTTATTTTGTTGCTTAAATATTGCTACTTACGTCTTTAATTAATATATGATTAATTTTGTGTTAATTTTGTTTTTAATTTTCACAGCACAGACTATTCAACCATTTATAAACATACAACGACCGTCTTACAAATATTTGGACATTATTTATTTTAATTTAATTAAAAAAAAAGTGATTTGACATCAACTTTTCACACTTTACAACTTTGCCCAAACGTTTGTTCTAGACCTTGCTACCTTGCTGCTCCTCCGGGACACCCTGTATATCCACGGGGGTGCCGCGATCCATCATCCCTGTCTCCAGCTTTGTGCCTCTACCGCTCCCACAGTTAATTCAACCCTACACTACATTTTACCGCTCCTTCTCTCGTCTGTTGCTCCTCTTTCTTCTCGTATAACAAATAGCCGTGTAATCCTTTCACCTTTTTATTTCTCGCTTAAGCCGTCGCGATGTCTCATAAAACTCGAGGGCCGTGAAAATATCGGTTATTTATTGACCTTTTTGTTGGATTTTTGCTTTTTCGGAATTTTTTAACGTGGACATCTGGACGTTTGGATATTTAAATAAGAATTAATCAAGTTGACAAAGGTGTGAGGAGGAACGTTTTAAGTATTTTTACGGTTGTGTTAAACGTTTTGTTAAAGATCTACCAAAAGATGTGCGTCAAAATCAAAATAAGTCTGCTTGCCCACACAATCATTCACCTTGGGCACATTCAAACCCCATACAGGTATAAATTAAAAATCTATGAATTTTTTTTCAAACGATTTTACCAAGCTAACTTGTAAATCTAAGGAATATTTTGTTTACTTTTTTGTTTTGACCAATCAGTGTATCAAGTTACTTGTAATTTTTAACCGACTTCCCCACTACCAACAAAAGGAGGAGGTTCTCAATTTGTTTGTGGCGATGTTTTTTTTTCTATGTATGTTCACCAATTTCTCTGTGATTATTTTACCGATCAGTGTGGTTCCACCACCAAAATAACCAGGAGAGTTTCTATTTGGTACCTTATATATTATGTTTAAGTATAATATTTGTTTCGGTGAAAAATTCTGAAAACCTTAAATATTCAACATTTATTTTGTTTACATTTGTGCAGATTGTTTACATTTGTGCAGAGAAGGCAATAAATAATAATAACATTTCTACAGCTGTTAGTTGAAACCATTTAAATGAAGCTACAGACAATTCTTCATGAAACAGTTGCTTCATATTGATCAATAAACTATTTCTTGCCATGGAGCCTAAATGAATTACATTGAGAAAAATGCATTTTGTTTTGGTTACTATAAAAAATGTATTTTATCGTTTGACCTGATTTGTGTATACAGTAATTCTGTTTTTATCAGTATTGAATATTCTGACTTACAAAAACACATATGTTTCAGTGAATAGCTGTATGATATTGACAAATAAAGGTGTATTGTGAAAACCAATTCATTCGTAAAACAGGTCTAAATTTTAATTAAATTCAATTATTCCTTACACGACCTAAGAAGTGTGACGGTGCATAATCGTCAATTGTCTTAAAAGTGTTAAATATTTTAATTACTAAACCTGCATTTGCAGATGTGGAATGTTTATTGATATTCTCTACACAAGTTACTATATCATACCAATACTATTACCGGTATGCCTGCTTCGGAAAGTCCTAGAGGAAGATGATTTGCAATTTCGACTAGGCTATATCTTGATCAAACAAAACCACCTACATGGCTTGCACCACTTTTAGCTGAACCAATCTTTCATATACATATTTCATTTGTAGATGCGGAATGTTTATTTATATTCTCTACCCAGTTACTATAACATATCAATACTATTATGCCTGCTTCGGAAAGACCTAGAGTAAGATGATTTGCAATTTCGACTAGGCTATATCTTGAGCAAACAAACCCCCCTACATGACTTTAGCTGAACCAATCCTTCATATAGTATTTTCCAAAGGTACTATACGTGTTAACGACCAATTTTCCACTTTTGAGAGATTTTTTAGTGCTGGTGGCTGAGGAATAACTTTCATATTGTTCCTAAAGACTTGAGACGTTACTGTATTTCTTTTTATAATGT